TATATATATATATATATATATATATATATATATATACATAGGTATTTCTGCAAAATTGAATTATATCTTATTTTTTAGTTTCTCTTGCAGTGGTGTCTCTGGGAACATTTCCAAGCTTCCAGTTGTAGAGAGTTTACCACTACCTTGTGGCGGACCTGTACCAGTGAACAGTCACTTAACAAGGACACCTAGCTTCCGAGTAAGACAAGAGTGTGATATGTACATTGATCAACAAGCAAAAACCAAGAAGTAAGCATCTTAGAAAAATTTTATTGATTGGAGACAAACTGTCACTGAAGTTAGAAACTATTCTTTATATATTCGTAACACTAGATGTTTTTTTTATATGAGCTTTGTTATGTAGTAGTTTTTCTTCATTGTTTTGTATGTCAGACTCATTTTGCTCTATGATTTAAAGAATATTAATACAAGTTATTGTCTGTCTCTGATATTTATATATTACCTACTGTAGTTGCATTCTGTTGAATATATACTAATTATACAATATATATTACTTACAGTAGTTGTGATCTGTTGTTTGTTTACATTATGTTCTGTGGTTTGTATATTACCTATTCTGATTATGCTACGTTGTTTGTATATTACCTGTTTTGATTATGTTCTGGTGTTTGTATATTATTTATTCTGATTATGTTCTGTTGTTTGTATATTATCTATTCTGATTATGTTCTGTTGTTTGTATATTACCTGTTCTGATTATGTTCTGTTGTGTGTATATTATTTATTCTGATTATGTTCTCTTGTTTGTATATTATCTATTCTGATTATGTTCTGTTGTTTGTATATTACCTGTTTTGATTATGTTCTGTTGTGTGTATATTATTTATTCTGATTATGTTCTGTTGTTTGTATATTATCTATTCTGATTATGTTCTGTTGTTTGTATATTACCTGTTCTGATTATGTTCTGTTGTGTGTATATTATTTATTCTGATTATGTTCTGTTGTTTGTATATTATCTATTCTGATTATGTTCTGCTGTTTGTATATTACGTCTTCTGATTATGCTGTGTTTGTTTTGTATATCACCTATTATGGTTATGCTGTGTTTTTTACATATCACCTATTATAATTATGCTGTGCTTGTTTTGTATATCACATATTCTGGTTTTGATATACTGAGGTATAACCAGTAGTTGAAAGTTTGGGAGTGACATATTACCAAAAGACTTCAAAGAACTTGCTTAGTGTTTGGTAGTAGGCAAAGAAGAATGTTTCATAAGTATAGAAAAAAAAAGTACTTAATAAGCATGTGAAACAAATATTGTTTCTTCTCAATGTGGTTTATATTTTAATGTTTTTTTAATTCAGGCAGTTGTTGTTAATTATGAGAGAGATGATTCATACAGAACGGGACTATGTCAAGTCACTGGAATATATCATTGAGGTAAGAGGATTTTCTTAGGCGAGAAACATTGGTAATTCTTAACTGTGGCTCATCCTGATTCAATGTAGAGTGTCATCTGGTGGACTAAGTTAAAAAAAAGTTAAATAATCAGTAATGCTATTTCATTTTCATAAGTAATAACCTGGAAATGAGATATTGGAAGTAATAATTCACAATGGAGTATTTTCTGACATTATGTGTTTCCTGTCCTTGCTTCTTAGAATTTACTAGTGTGTTAAATTTACAGAATTTTCAGTATCGTGCTAACATCATAAATATATACATGTATAATGTAGAAGTGTAGTTGAGGAGAGAAGAGAGGGAGGGCTCAGATGACCACCCCCAAATTCATTCTGAAAAGTCTAAAAGGTTCACTGTCTTCTGAATTGTTTTTAATAAATACTTGACTGTAATTTTAAATGACTTAAATTCATTGTGTAGAAGAAAAGGTCCACAGTACTTTGGAAGAAGAACTGATTCCGAACTCTGAAGTACTGGCTGTGCCCTTACATATATTTGAAATTGGTGTGTACACTTCTTAATACACATACTTATATAATGACGTTTCAACTAACAAACTCTTTGCAGATTTATATTTTCAATTCTTGTGTACTTAAATAAAACATGCTAAAGTAAGTTTGTTAACAATTTATAACATAGTATTTTTTACATAAACATGTGTATTTAAAGTTAAATAATTAAGTTTTAACTTCTAAAAAAAATTTGCATATTTATAACTTAAATTTTTGAAAACTAAATTTCATAATACTTTGTATTATATTTTTGTATGTTACTCAGATGGTGATGATACATATAGGAGGCACAGTTTAGTTTTAGTATTTTAGTCTGTCTCTAGGCTCTCCTGTCAGTGATCACAAACATTAAGTAATCTATCCAAGAATGTCAAAATTGCACTCTTGTTTCTTTTTTTTCCCCTTAGAATTACATTCCTGAGTTGCTGCGAGATGACATTCCTCAAGCTTTACGAGGTCAAAGAAGTGTAATTTTTGGCAACATTGAAAAAATCTATGAATTCCACAACCATTATTTTCTTAGTGAGCTGGAGAGGTGTGAAGACTCACCATTCCTTGTAGGCCAATGTTTTCAGGATTATGTGAGTAGTTCTTATTCTAAAACATTATACACTTATCACACGACCAGAATACATAACAAATTCAGTAAATAGGATAATATTGCCTACATACTGTATGTTACAGTAGAGATAAAAGGACAAATATTCGAGATAACCAAAACAATTCAATACAATGACTCTATATTACAAATTCATACGCATGAACTATGGACAAAAGAATGAATACTTACATCTTTGATTCAGTTCTGAAAAATACTAAAACCAAATAAGTACATCACCACCAAAGAACTGATACTGCATCTGGTGTTTACTAAATTCCTTAGAACCCTGTGTATTTTCAAGCACTGTGGTCAACTCACCATTACAAAGGGACTGATACTGTACTTGGTACTAACCCCCTTCTTTAGAACCCTGTACATGTTCAAGCACTGTGGTCAACTCACCATTACAGAGGGACTGATACTGTACTTGGTACTAACCCCCTTCCTTAGAACCCTGTACATGTTCAAGCACTGTGGTCAACTCACCATTACAAAGGGACTGATACTGTACTTGGTACTAACCCCCTTCTTTAGAACCCTGCATATATTCAACCACCTTGATCAGCTCACCATCATTGAGGGATTGATCCTACACATGGGGATAACCTCATTTCTTAGACCTGTTATTTCTTCAACCACCATGGCAAACTTGCCACCATCAAGGGACTGACTTTGCATCCAGTGATGACCCCATTTCTTAGAGACTTGTATGGCTTCAACCACTATGGTAACTCAATACCATCAAGGGACTGACTTTGCACTCAGTAATAACTAATTTCTTAGAACCCTGCATGTTTTTACGAACCATGACTAGACTAACTATAACAAAGTGTAACATACCATGTTCACAAAATAAGAACAGTTTTATTTATGAAGATAAAACTAGTCTGTTTACCCAGCACCAAGTACAACCCAGCACCAAGTACAACCCAGCACCTACTTTACATCATATACAATATAAAGTTTTGTGTATGCAATTTAACTATAATTTCTATAAACTAAAAAATGACTATTACACAGTTTTGTTGTAATCAGTTGGATGATAAGAAAACACCATGAAATCAATAATAATTTTATTATCTGATTTAGTCTTATTTCATTGTTATTTTAGACAGCAGAGTTGTTTTTCTTAAGTAAATCAGCATTTTGGTCTCTAAGCTAATGTTGTATTCAGATCATATATATCATTTAAGTTTTGTTGCACATTTTACATGGTATGTTCAAATAGGTTCAAATTAGAATGAAATAAGTGGTTATAGATATCTTATGATTCTGAAGAGAATAAGAAGTAGTATAATTAGTTGAAATCTTGTTGGTACGTGTATAATTTATTTTTCACCTACAAAATAAGCAACTGTCTCTACTGCATTATTCTGTTTTAAATCATGTTTGGCCTAATAAACCTCCTTGTTTCATCAGCTGGTAGCCTTTGGTACCATATCACTGAGCTTCTTGTATACAAACAACATGTCAGATACAGTCCTAGTTGCTGTGAATTTAGCTGAGATGATATGTTCTAGCATTGAACAGAAAGTCTCCTGGCAAACATAATGTAGCTCTGAGATTATTCTTTAACTCCTAAAATACTGATTTGTTTACCTACTGCCCACTTCTGGTTAATCCACATTCTGCATCACATTGAGTTAAGTTTATATTTACTGTTGTAATACTCACTGTGAAGAACTGAACAAACAATTAGATGAAGTTGTCCTTTTTGCTGTGGTAAGTACATAAGGAACTCCAGCAGTAAGTAACAGGATTAATTGCAGTGTCTTTTCTTTTTAGGAGAAACCTAAATTAGAAACCACTTAATTATTGAAAGTTTATAAAGTTGTGGAAACAGCTTTCTGTGGAATATTATGTTATACCCATATATAATATCCCCATCAAAACTTTATATATGATGGTACTTGTAATTTTTTTGTTACTTTTGAATGGACTGTCTTCTGGAAAGGATTAAACCTAGATGACAGTTTGACATTTTTCTGGTTGTTTTTGTACTTAGATCTAATGAAGAGAACTGCAGTAATGTTGAAACATTAACCAAATTTAAACCATAACAGATTGTTTATAATCAAAAGAAGACACCGTAGATCTGAAATACTATTTTTTTATAAACCTTCATTTGAATATCATAAAAAACAACTAAGAAGGCTGTGAAATAAAACATCTGTAACAAATGTGATTTTTTTTCTGATATTTGGTAGCAATGGTAGGTGTAATAAACCTCCTTACTTCATTAATTTATTCTATTCAATATTTGGATGAGTTAGGCTTAACATTCCTATTAATAGTTAAGAAAATACTTGACCAGTACTGTAATGGATATTATATTGCACAGGCAGATATAAACTCTGTATTATTTGCTTAACTTGTGAAAAATAGCAACAAATATATAACAAATCACAACAACTTTTGAACAGTCATTAGAATATAGCATTATATGTTAGTGTGATATTTTGTTAATTAACAGTACTGCAATCTCATGACAATTAGGTTAAAATGAGTAAATTTAGTAATTTTGTTTATATTCTGTTACATTATTTGAGTTTTTTTAATTAACATGTTATCATGAAAAATGTTAACATGCCAAAGTATTGCATAGAATTAGTGTTTAGCATTCAGCTGTATTGTTGTAAGGACTGTTTTGTTTTCTGATCTTTATACCTACTGAAAACGTTTTTCTCAGAACTTGGATATTCTTTTTTTTTCAGGAGGCACAGTTTTACCTTTATGCCTTGTACAATAAAAACAAACCCAAATCAGACTCTTTAATGGTGGAATATGGCAATGCTTTTTTCAAAGTGAGTAAAACTTTAATTAAAACCTAGTTTATATACTAACTTTTTGTTTTACAAGTGTTTTTGTAATTTAATAACAATATTTTAACATGTTAGTGGTATATTTCTTAGTGCTACTGCTAGTCATATATTTATCTCAAATTCTAACCTATGTGATGGTTATTTTTGTCCAAGTAAAATCACAAGAGAATGAAAAAGTTAATAAATCAAAGTTACTGAATAAAATAATTAGTGACAAAGAAATTATTGGGTGTATTTCACAAGTAATAAATTAATATTATTATCTCAAAAATTATTTTTTAGTTTAGGATTGTCTGCAGCAAAATCATGCATTGAAATATATTAAATCTGAATGCACAGGGTGTGTAAATTCCCACTAATAATGAGTGTATTTGTTTTGACTTTTCAGCAGCACACTTTTTGTAACATCATCTAGCACACTTTATTAACCTCTGGATGGAATTAAGGGGGAACTTTCTTTATTCCCAAACATAACCTTTTCCAGCTATTCCAGTGTGTCTGGTGGGTGGTGTAGATATGGAATGTTTCTCTTAATTTGGTCAAGTACATGCTTTGTGGGATTATGGTCTGAATAAAATACAGATGATGTAAATTTTGTAAAGTTAACTTAGCTGTTTTAATCTACTACAAAACATTGTTAATCAGACTTATTTTGTGGTTTTTAGAAAAAGCAGCTGGAATTGGGTGACAAAATGGATTTGGCCTCTTATCTACTTAAACCTGTGCAAAGAATGGGTAAATATGCTCTTCTGTTGAAACAACTTCTGAAGGAATGTCCAGAAAAGATTTCTGAATATCAAAACCTCAAGGTTGGTTGTACTATGATCTTATAGGCAATTGTAAAAACTAAAATTATAAGTGTTTGTTCTTTTATTCTTGATTAATATTAACTTTCAACCAGAGCTGGCTGTGTACATAGAGCAAAACTAAAAAATCAAAATCGTAATCATTAAATCTAATTAAATATACTTTCCAACTTATAAAGATTAGGTGGGTACTATTGCTGTTAACAATATTTTTGGCCATAATTCCAGTCATATTTGACAAGGTTAGGCCCATTGTTGTTGATGATAATTTCAGCCATAATCCCAATAATATCTCACAAGATTCGGATACTCGTTGTTAGCAATCTTTTTGGTTTTAATCCTAATAATATCTCATGAGGTTCGGATCCTCATAGTTTCAGCAGTAATCTTAATAATATCTTACAATATATAAAATAGTTCTTCATATTTGACTAGTTTTTTACATACTATTTTGCAATATGCACTTTTAATAATTGTCTTGTGGATTTTTTCAGTGATTTAAAGTATGAAAATTCTACAGAAACTTAATGTTTATTACTTTGACAGGCAGCAGAAGAAATAGTTCGTTTTCAGCTAAGACATGGTAATGACCTGTTGGCTATGGATGCTTTAAGAGATTGTGATGTAAGTTGTTGAAATTATTGATCCAACTCATACTTGATGTATGTGAAACAAGGCCATATGGTCTTAAGTCAACTGAAAATGAAGTAAATGAACCAGATGATTACTAGACTACTAGACTACTTGACTGTCCTGTTTATTTTATTTCTATGTAATAAATAAACATAATCTACCCAGTAAGGAAGGGCTTACATTACATTGTCACATTCTTTTTTTCCATAGCTAATTACTACGTAGTCATTGTGCACAGATCTTAAACAGTATTCAGACAGAGTTCAGCTTTAACACAATCTCTGCAATCAAAATTTCTAATGAATGAAAAAATACATTTATTAAAATAAAATAAAATGTTTTGATACATCATTTTTAAAACTTATTGTAAACAAGCACACTGTCCTAAGCAGTACTATCATCCCTTTTCATTAGGGGGTGGGGGGCTCACCAGGGCATAGGTAATTACTTAATGTATTTTTTAAGTGCAGTGATATATATGTCTACATCTGTTTAGATAATGACGCTGTTCATATGTACTGCCTAAAATATCATTTGACACTTGACACTGAGCTTTGTTTTGTACTTATGTTGATTCATTGACTTCATTACTGAAAAAAAGTTATATTGATTAAAAGTTTATATCAGATTGACAGTTTTCTGTTTCAGGTAAAAGAACCATTTCAGTAGCAATATTTATTTTCCAAAATATACCTCCTCTCACACTTGCAGATATTAATCGATTGGCAGAGTTTCTTCCTTTGCCCTTCTAAGCATTGGTATAATTTTTTTCTCTCGCTTGCTCCAGTCTTTTATACCCCACTTAATTGCCCCTGGCGATATTTGTCTCGTGACACTCTCCATCCATGTCAATGTGCCCTCTATCCTGTTACTATATATAAACATCTCATTCAGATAATGTTATCCCTTTTTCTCGATAAAGCATCACTAACGGGTTTCCCAGTACTATGATCATTCTGAGATACTTTGAACGTTCTTTATGTTACCTAGTTGATTTTTGTAAAAAAACAAAAAAAAACAATATTTTCGATTGACAAGCCTATTTACAGTATGAATTCCCGGATTACTATTTCCAGCACAAATTCAAATCACGTCTCTCCTATCCCACCTCTGATATTTAGCATCACACAACAATCGAGGAAGGAGGTAGAGTCACTCTCGGTTGAGACTGTCAGTGATCTTATTTGTAGTGAGAATGATGGAGATGTATATTCAGTTCTATGGTGTTCCTGTGGAGGGCTCTGAGGCTGCAATTGAAGGCAATCCTCGACATTCTGCAGACTATTTAGATTTGCTTTTTCCTGCACCCTCTTTTAGTCTGTTGGCTTTTCATCCCCCTATGGGACAGTGGTGAGTGTGTGGACTTGCAGTGCTAGGGTCTGGGGTTTGATTCCTTAAGGTGGAGGATGGCCCAATGTTGCTTTGCTCTAACAAATCAAACTTTTACCTGACCAAATGTTGTTCCAATCAACAGTAGTCAACACAGTCTTTAAATGAAATATAAAAACTAAAAGGAGGCTACTTTGCGATAAACTGCCTTTGATTTGTTTTCTTCCATTGGTTCATCGAGAATGTGATGTTTTAAGCCTTTCTCTGGTTGCTTTTGAGCCTGCACCTTATATTATGGCTGAAAAGTCTGGGAGCAAATATTTAGTTTTCTCTCCATCCATGGACATTGTGGCTCCTGCTGGGAGGTTTACTTCTCAGTTATGTGAAGGGACAGTTATGTCTTATCTGACATGGTTGTTAGAACTTTGTGATGTAGCCTACCACTGCTAGGTGGAAGCATTTTCCAACTTTTAAATAATACATCTGCTCCTCGAATTTTGGGATTCTAAGGCAGAGTTTGTAGTTAACCTGAATAGATCAATGTCCCCTAATAGGATAGGGTAATTCTACGGACTTACAACTTTAAAATCATTTTGTTTTCCATTCACTTCACTTTGTTGAAAGACTCTCAGGATCACCAACTTCATTGATGATGAGCTGGAACCATTGTTAGCATGCACATTGGTTCAATTGTCGGCTTCTACATTCATCCCTATTGTAGTTGACATCTCTAATTTCATTGGCTCCTACAGAGGGTCATAGTTCTGCCCCTATTTGTGGGATCCTACCCCAACATAAGTCACTTGGTACATTGGTACCCAGAATAGATTCTGTCTATATTCAAGGGTTCTGCTGCTCGATTGGATTGCTGACAGCAGCGTCAGTGATTATTGTATACCTTCAGGGTCTGTGTGGGCTCGATTCTGAGAATTTCTGGTTATGTGGTAACCGTAATCATGGATCAAGGAGCATTATTACAGGTCCTTAAGTTAGGATTAGACATTCATTTCACACCTTCACCACTATTATCCATCCAATCTGTAGTGTTTCCATCTCCTGCAGTTTAAACTTAGTCTTAGGGCTACTAGAGTTGGTTGGTCTAGGGGTAATCATGCTTGTTCTTCTGGGGTTTTATTCCTGTCAGTTGTTGGGTCTAAGAAGACAGTAAATTAGTGTCCAGTCATTGATCTTTCTCATCTATATCAATGCCTAGCTTCTTTAAGATTCACAAGTTATTCATTCCTCAACCTGACTTGACATTTTTTACTGGGATTGTGGATGTCCTAGTTCGTTTTAGTCAGCTCCTATCTGCACATTGCCATAGTGGTGGCGTCCCATCACCATTGGGATTTTTTTGTGTGAAAGGGTCAGGTACTGCAGTTTGGGATTTTTTACCTTCTGACTCTCATCGACTTCACGTGGGTTCTGCCATATTGTATGAGTTTTTTCTGATCACCTCCATTCCATTGCACTGTGCACACACCATTCCATAAATGACTGGTTACTACTGGCACCATTTCACCAATTGTCAGTACATCACATCCTGATTCTACTTTCAGAAACAACCTATGCAGGCTTCATTCTCAGGGCTGAAACTTCTATTCTTGCTCTAATTCAATATGTCATCAGTCTGGGTATTTTTTATTTTTCATTTTGTGTCTCAGTCATGCTCAACTGACTCCCATCTGACTCCATGCTGTCCCAATTATTCTTGCTTTTCAACTGCGACAAGAGCCATTAGAAATTCAGCTAAGCTCGTCAATGTCTTTCCCATGAGACTTAACCTTGAACTGGAAGTGAAACTAACAATCATCTATGCAGAAAACAATGTAATATAATATGCCATTTGATAGATTGAAAGTTTGGCTTTCTGTTGATTATAAATAATATCGTACTAAACATCAGAGAGAACTATTGGCAATTTGTGAAAGAGAGGATGTGACAGATTGGCATGGCTGGAAGGAGTCTTATTTTCTGTTTTATGGTTCTGAAACCAAATAAGATAGAAGGCTATAAAAATTATATTTTGCTTGAACAATAAATTATAATGAGTAATTTATATTGAATTCTGAACTTATTGGAGGGTTGGTAAATATATTAAAGAAGAGGGAAGACAATGATAACAAACATTACAGTTCTCAAACTAGGGGATATTGAGTTTCTTTTTAAATATTTTCTTATAAAATTAAGAATGTAAAACTTAAACAGTATTAAAAGTTTATTCGTATATTTTGATAAAAATATAGTTTAATTAAATTTTGAATGTAACTCTGTGAAAGGTTGTGACACGCACACTTTGACCTATCTGATGTGAAAGAATTAACATTTGTATAACTGACTGTTCAAGATCTTTTTCTTATTCATTTTTACACTTTCATGGTGTACCTGTATGTAAAACTAAGTTCCAGCACATTTGAAAGATTTGGCAAGAAGTGGTGGTAAATATTTAGTATTCCCAAATATGCAGAAAATACTGTTATTCTTTGAAGCTGGGGTTTGTTGTATAGCTTCACTATTATCTATTCCTGGTTGTATCTACAATGTATTCCTTTATCTACAAACAAAGAATAGAATCCATATTTAAGATATGGTCCTTATCATACCTTGCAGTTCATTTTTCATTGTGTGCTGGAAAATTCTTGGGACTTACAAGAATACAAAAGGCATTTGTTGTTCTGGTACAAACTTCTTTGAATGTGAAAAACACATGACTATCAAGGCTGGTGAATATTTCAATCCCATCAAAGATGATAACTAAATCATCTATTTTGGGAGTCAAGTAATAGTCAAACTTATACTTTATAATCTTCTCATTTCTTATAGTGTTGTGTGGTTCGACAACTAGTGTAATGGATTTGGCCCATTCTAAAATGTCTGTAGAAGAAATTATATCATCTTGTTCTAACCTCTTTATCTGGAACAACATTTTTGATAGCTTATGGTACTGAATGTAGTTTCAAATAATTAAGCCTGGACTCGATTCAAAGTACATCTTCTATACAGTACTTTATATGTTGCACAAATCCTACTTTAAAAATGTAAAAAAAAGTTATCCAGTCCTATCTGTAAAACTGGCTTATGCCAGGTTCTACTTTACAAATGTTCATTCAATTAACATATAACATAACATAATATTTTGGGACAACATGGGACTTATTGGTACATCTCAGCTGTTCCATCTTCAAAACTAAATTAAAATGATTAAAAAAACAAAATTTGAACCCAGCCCTTTTCATTCATATACTTATCAAGCTTTTTCTTAAACTCACAATTTTATATGAGTTTATTTAATAAATTCCATTCACGTTAATTAGGATCTTTTCCCTTCACTGCTAATGCTGGCAGCCTTTGATGGTGGCCTCATTCTTCACTGTGTAAGTAATTGGTATACTTTCCTGTGTATATACGAAGTACCTCATTGAACTTCTTTAATGGATCTAGTTTCTGTCAGTTTTTTGAAGTGAACTCACTCAAAATGCTGGCCAAAGCCTCTGTATTAATCTGCATATACTGTGGTTGGCCTCCTATTTCTGACTTTACTTTATATGGTTCTGGCTTCCTCACGCTACAGTGATACGTAATATAAACATTTTCCTCACCCACTTTATTTTTTATCAAATGATAATTTTAAGACTTGCTTTGCTGTTGATTTCTACAAAAAGTTGTCTTGCTGTTATTTTGTTGATTTCTATCAAAAGTTGTCTTGCTGTTATTTTGTTGATTTCTATCAAAAGTTGTCTTGCTATTATTTTGTTGACTTCTATCAAAAGTTGTTCTGCTGTTGATGTCTACCAAACATTAACCTGCTGTTGATGACTTTCAAAAGTTGTCACATTGTTAAACTGTTGGTTCTCTTTGATACATCCATGACTTTCTAGCAATGTATATTATTTTCCATTAAAGATGTAATATTCTGCATCATTAAATTTATAACTGTTTGAACAGTTAATACTTGAAACCATTGGTACTTGGTGGAAAACTCCGTAATTATAAAATTGAGGAAAACAAAGACAGTTGTATAAATATTTCATTTATTATGACCATGGTTTTGCCAGTAAAGGCATCATCAAATTCACTGACAACATCAAATGATTTTTAAGGCTGCTAACTTTCAAACTTAAGTATATATATATGTATATGTGGGTATTCTTCTTAATAGATTTTTTATCATATTCTATCCTGATTATGCCTTTAGTGGCAAAGTCATGGTAGTAATAGATGAAATATTTATAAAATGTACAATTGTCTTTGTTTTCTTGAATTTTGTCTGAATAATGTTAGGAAACCATTGGCTTATTTCTCAGTGCATGAGCAGTTGTAGAATCTACACGTGCACTTGTCAGCAACTTGCATGCCCACAATAATATTATCAACAATATTTTATTTTAAAGTCTTATTCTGTGTCAACTAGCAATATTTTTCTGAATTCTTGCAGACCTCGGATCATATTACATCTGTCACACACTACCTGCTCTAAGAATACAATGTTAATGTAAGTTTAGCAAAAATGAACTTACTGTTCTGCCTTTCTCCTGGTCTCTGTAATTAAATCTAAATCTTCCAACTCTAACTATTGGCTTAAATCTCAGTTGTTTCATGAAGAAAATTACTGACAGCATCAAATGAATTTTTGAACTGCTAAATTTCAAACTTAAGGGGATATGTCTTTCTTAATAGATTTTATTTTTATATTCTATTCCATTTGGTAAAAAAGTAGTGAGGAAGATTTTCTTTCTATTGAAAATTCTTCAGTTTTGATAGAAATAGCATGTGAAAGTTTTAAATTCTTGTCAAAATAATATCTTGTTATGAATCATTCTATAGGCTTAAGGTATGTGTAAATGAAAATGAAGTAAATGACTTGTGCATCCAGGTGGCTAACAGTATGCCTATTTATCTCGTATCTCTCCATAATACAGAACCATAAATTTTTATCACAGGGCAGTCTATTCATGAATTGTAGTTGTAAATGTTTATGTTGTGTTATATTATTAGAAATTTACAACAAAATGATTTTATAGGTGAACGTTAAAGAGCAAGGACGACTTCTGAGACAAGATGAATTCATAGTTTGGCAAGGACGCTCCCGAAAATCATTGCGCCATGTTTTCCTTTTTGAAGACCTGATCCTTTTCAGTAAAGCTCGACGAGATCCTGAGCGAAAAGGACATGAAATTTATCAGTACAAGCATAGTATAAAAGTCAGTATTAATGTATGATAATTTAGTTTTTATGTTTTATCCCACATCTTTGAATGTATGACAATCTGAATTACAAAAATTACATATTTCTACTGGTATATTTACTTTAGTTCATTTACTGTTTCACCATCAGTGGTAGCACACTCATCTTCTGAGTACCCAGATTTACAGGTTCTCAGTCTATAGAATACTCAATTTCTGACTAAGTAGGATATGAGCATCTATTATTAAAACTGATAATGTGCTTGTAGTATGATGCTAAAAAAAAAGTCCTAAAGTGGCCACAACATTGCATGCTTTCAAACAGTAGATGGCAAGGCTATTGGGATAAGTGTTTGTAAAAAAGAGTTGGCACTTTAGTTATACCTTATTTGGGTATTATTTCTCTCATAACCAAGAAGAAAGTTATTAACCCTTTTGCAACAGGAGTACCTTTAAACATTTTTCTGTACAAGTCACTGTGTTACATTCAAAATTTAATCAAACACCTTCAATATCAGTGTATATGTATGAAATTAATATTATAATGTATGTTATGATTCAAGGTTTTTACTTTATTCAAGTTTTAAGTCCTTTATTTCAAAATAAACCTTTAAAACTTCAGATATATTGTCACGTGACCAAGGAGCTATGAAAATTCCCTTCTTGGGCTCTCTGTATATTCAATAATACAATGGTAGTTGAGTAGAGGTACATCTGGACAATAAGATACTTACATAACCTTTTGATTTGTTTATTTCAAAGTTCTCTGAATGAATACAGTTTAAACTAGTAATAAATCTTTTCAACCCCTGACAGCTGCCACGCCCATCTTCAACAGATTTGTTTGAGCTTTATAACCTCCATGTATTAGGTCGTCAAGAAACTAATGTTGCTTTTTTTAGATGAAAAAACCTGAACAACTTATATATCAAAACAAAACATTTATTAAAAGAAATAGTCTCCATTCTTATCTTACAATCAGGTTGTTAATGCCCTGATTACAGAAATCATTTGGCTTTGAAACAAAAACCCATGTCAGTGTTTTCTTTAACACCTTCCACATTTGCATACGTTTTCCCATTAAGATAGTGTTGGAGCGAATCAAAAATATGGTAATCTGATAGTGACGTATCTGGAGAATATGGTGGGTGGGGAGAACTTCCCAACCGAATTTTATAATCTTGTGTTGCGTCAAATGTGCCACATGTGGACGTGCATTGTCGTAGAGAAGAAGAACACCTTTCCGATTGAGGAGCAAAGGACGTTTCAGATGAAGGGCTTGATTTAAATGTTCCAGTTGCTGACTATGGATCTCTGCATTGACAG